GCATATTCTAAAGCGAAGATGAGAAGAAATGGCTATCAAGCATCTCCTTGTTTTAGATCATTTTAGACAGGAAACTTATTAGACAAATGTTTATGTGTACAGACTTTACTACAGGTTGTAGTTAAACAAATTTTAATCAGCCTACCTAATTTCACTGGTGCCCGAAACTCAATGAGAATATTGTACAATACATTCCTCTTAACTGAATCACGGGCTTTCTTCAAGTCTATCAATAGCTATGTACTCTCTCATACTCTCACTTTTCTCCAGTATCTCACATATGCAAAAAATGTTATTAGCAGTTGATCTATTATGTCAAAACCCACAGTGACAATACCCAATAATTCTGTCTGCTACAGCCCCTTTCACTGCCCTTCTAGTAAACTTGTACATTCCACTGATCAGGCAATTTTTAATTATTCGAAATAGAATGAATGAGTTTATGGATCTCAGACCACAATATTTCACCTCCTCCTATGTCAGAATTTGATCACTGCTTGGCAAAATATACTTTTTTAAATTTGCAATAGCAATTCAACCTCAAAAGGGGTAGATCAGGTTCTGGCGACTCAGCTGTATGTATTTCTGTCTGCCTAACATCACTGACCTTATATACAGGTGTTCATAAAAGAATGGTGGGGTTTTAGATATGTATATATTTTGTATTTCTTATCGTGTACAATCATAACATGTGTCAATCGGAAGCTTAACTGTCCAAATTTTATGTACATCCATCAAAGTGCCTCTATGCACGCACCTTTCGTTACCCAGCACACACCAATGAGATAGTCGAATTCCTGCCACAGCCGCTGCAGCATTTCAGGTGTGGTGGTCTCCACAGCACGATTGATTCTGTTTCGGAGATCCTGGAGTGATTTGGGCAATGGAGGTACATAAACCATGTCCTTCACGTACCCCCACAAGAAGAAATCACATGGAGTTATGTCTGGGGATCGGGGTGGCCACCGGAGAAGGGGGGCATCTTCACCTGCAGCACGTCCAATCCATCATTGTGGAAGGACCAGATTAAGGAAACCTCTCACAATGCTATGGAAATGTGGGGGAGCACCATCCTGTTGGAAAATGTAGTCATTGGAATCATTGGCCACTTGTCGAAACAACCAATTTTCCAGAATGTCTTGATAGGTGTTACCAGTCACTGGTGCTTCAGCAAAGAAAAAAGGCCTGTACACTTCTTGCTGAGAGACAGCACAGAAGACGTTAATTTTCAGAGAATCACACTCGTGCTCAATCTGTGCATGTGGATTTTGTCCCCCCCATATACATACATTGTGTCGGTTAACTATCCCACTCAGAGGAAAAGTGGCTTCATCACTGAAAACGAGACGTTCCAGGAAACCATTGTCTTCCATCTTCTCTTGAATGTCCTCAGCGAAATGAGTTCTGGCTACCTTGTCTTGTGGTTTCAGAGCTTGCAACAGCTGCAACTTGTACGATTTCATTAATATTCGCTTACGCAGCATCCTCGACGTCGTCGTCGTTGGCATTTGCAATTCTCTGCTTCCTCTATGTAATGATTTTCTTGGGCTTCTCTGATGTCTCCCTCACTCTTTCCATGTCTGCATGTGGCACACGTGGCCGCCAAGAGCTCTTGCCTTTACAGAGACATCCACTGTCCACAAACTGCCGGTACCATCTGCGAATGTTGTTTTCATGTGGCGCCTCCTTCTGAAAACGTACATGAAATTCACGGTGCACTGTAACGATGGATTTAGACACCTCAAATCTCAGCACGCAATAGGCCTTCTCCTGCTGGGTCACCATCTTACATTTCACACCTCCTAACTGTCGGAAATGGAACTAGGAAAGAGCGCGATATACAAAATGAAAATTTGAGAGCCGCGTTATGAGTTTTGCTTTTCATCACCAAAAACTGATGGAGATATACGGCAATGAAACCCCACCATTCTTTTAGGAATACCCAGTACATACAATAACTGAAAGAAGTAGTTCTTCCACCTATTCAAAATGTTGTGGGAATCTGTAAGCAGATCACCATTCTCATCCTTCACTAAGCTACATCTAGGTGGGTAACCCCTCTTAACCTTTATCGGACGGGCTATTTAATTTCCGGTAGGGGCAGCTGGACGGAGTTTATTTAAATGCCCGCCCTTCTAGAGCAATGAAATTGTAAGCATGTTTCTAAAAATGGTGTGATTTCTACATTTTTATGATAAACGAACGAAATGAACGCTCCTGTAATGTAGAAAGAATATAGAATCAGATATTCTAATTTACAGATTTTAATATCTGTAAAAAATTTTTACACTGATTCCCAAAAAAAAAATTCCCGAAATTCATACATTTTCTGCACCATGCATTCTAGCAGTGTAATACATTTTCTGCACCATGCGTTTTAGCAGTGTAAGTCCTTGTGGCGACTTCACATTCAATGGTGTCTCTTGTTGAAGCTTATTTATCATATGGGACATGTCGGTATGCACGACTGTAGGCGTCTGAAATCGCTCGCTGTGTAATGTGTTAGATAGACACAGGAGTTAATTCTCGGAATATGGTGTTGCCAGATTGGTCATTCGTTCATTCATTGCAGTCAAACCATTGTGTTTGTAACGATTTTGAAACATCGCAATATAAGGTTAGCCACCCATGACATCATGAAGCAGATATTGGGTTCAGCCAAGACGTGAATGAGATTTTTGTATGTGTGGGCTCGAGGTTAAGATTCATGGCTTCTTATCGTGGTCTAAGCACAGAGATTCATTGCTAGAGAGCCATATAGTTCACCATGGCCACATGACGACGTCGTATGGAAGATGCTGAAATTGAGAAACAGCTGTTCAATGACAGATTCGGACTGCTATTCAATCGATTCTGAGAGTGGCGAGGAAAGTTGGAGTTCTGATTCCGCGGATGAAGGGTCATCACCTTCGACGGCAACTTGGGGACCGCCAGACCAGTGTGGTTGGAGAGGTGTGAATAATTATTCCGGTGTAGCTGTGGGGATAAATATCACTGCAGCTTGACATCACTGGCCTGCTTCCTCTAAATTGCAACTGAGGTGTCGTGTGTGCTCTTCGTGTGGGAAGTGGTCTAGCGTTCGTACGAAGTGCGTGAGCTGCGACGTCGCACTCTGCATTTCGGAATGTTTTCGGCAGTACCATACGAAGGCCACATTACCATAGATGACGCTAACATATATCATGTAAGTGGAGCAAAAATTTAATTTTAAAAAAATCTTTACACACATGCAATGCATGAAATCATATGAGGTCGTCTGGCCATATGACATCGGTAGATGTCATGCATGAGGGAAGACTGTCACCTTATAAAGGTTGTGACCAAAAACCATGTAAATAGAACAACAATTTATATTTTAAATTTAATGTTAAAAAAATCTTTACACGCGTGGAATGCGCGACATCATATGATGTCGTTCAGCAACTTGTCCTTACTTTTAACGTCATATGACGTCGCTAGATTACATTAGATCATGCAGGAAGGAAGGCTGTCTCCTTATAAAGGTGGTGACCAAAAATCGTGTAAATAGAACAATTTATATTTTAAATTTAATTTAAAAAAAAAACAACCTAACACGCGTGGAATCTGCGATATCATATGATGACGTTTGGCCAGCTGCCCTAACTTTTAATGACATCATATGATGAAGTTCGTCCGATAAATGTTAAAGTTATTTATTCCTAATTTTCTTGTTCTTACTGTTCATTGCAAGCTCATCAATTATGTCTTTCAGATATTCCCTACTTTTGTGGCTGAAATGTCTATCTGCACATATTACATTGTTCCATTTATTTGGCTCAGATCATGTATCCACTATAATTTTGCTTGTTTCTTTTGATCTCATAATTCTGAGCATCCTTCCTAAAACCATGACTTATGCTTCTTCAATTCAGAATATCATGGACTCTCTTTGGCTGAAATTTTGATATTCCTTTGTAACCACTCCACTGTCGTGTACTAGTTTTAGGTATTATTAGAATCTTTAGTACAAAGGAATTAATTGCCAGTAGCACTCCACTCTTTCTCATTTTTCATTATGTGGCCATCACTTTGCAGTTTACACTGTTGAATTAAATGTGACTTACACTGAAGACGGTGTATTAACATGAACACTAGAATATACTTCATCAGCTAGAGGCCCATGCTCCATCACTGATTATATTTTCAAAAGTCACAGTGGCAAAATAACTTTGCAGTGCATATTAAATCCATTCAGACAGTGCGATCTGGAAATTCTGCTTACGTAGCACAATGCTGGTACTTCCTTATTGGAGAAGGGTGATGCAAAGATTCCCTAACTCTTACTCGTATGGCGGGCTTCAAATTTTTTGCTACTATAATAAGCAATGTTTGAAGCTTCCAGGTGAACACCACCTGCTGCTATTTGTATCCTGCAGTGAATTAACTCAATGCCTGAGGAGTGCTTCTGGCATATTACACTGCTAAAGCTGGTACAAATACACCAGCATTAGAGAACATCTGTAACCTGCCAAACTACTTGGCATTATATCCCAAAAATAGGACTCTTCACAGTCAGTGCTATGAAAACCTTAATCTCAGATATAATATTCAAAAGTAACTTCCTCTGTAACATGAACATACAATTTGGTATTTTTCAAATGGTTGCATGTATATGTATATAATTATGAAATATGTATGTGTAAAAACAAAAGAAAATTTTTGGCTCTCACATAACATTTCACGAATCTCAAATAATGTATGCAGGATCAGATATAATCACTGATGCCTCTAAATTTTCCACAACATACAGAAGATTCTGATTTCCTTACTAAAATTTCCATTTTACTATTTTTTAATGTCTTGACATTTTCAGGCCCTGAATGCATAAATGTGTGTATTATAACAATGAAAGGCAAAAGAGGAAAGAAAAGGGAAAAATTTGATGAATGGAGAGGGGAAATGGAAAGAAAATGAGACGGGAAAAGGATTAAAAGAAAGAGAGAAAAGATTTCATTCTGACACTCTGGGTTTGAACTAACCTTTCTGCCTGGCTTAAGGCACATCACTCTCATAGCATTTGGGACCACCATCCTCTTCCTTCTGTCGTATGGAGGAGGACAGCCTTCAAAGGCCTTCAGACGCTTCAACGCAGCCTTTCCTCGTTCTGTCTTGTGGGGAAGCATACCTGTATCACACAATGGTTAAATACTTTGGGCACAAATGGAATTTTCAGTTTTCCTTTCACAAATTTGATAATGAGCATCTCATAGAACATTTGGTTTCATAAATATCAAATAATGTAGGTAAGATAGATGTAATCACTGATGTCACTTCTAACTAAGCACCATTATACTGTAATAAGTAGGGACCGGATTTTTAATCCCTAATAATCCCTTAAATATGTATGCATTTATGCATGAAAAACTTCCGAAATATGTAGTAAAACATGCATATAAAAATTTATACCAAATATTAAAATTGATTTTACATTATTTTAAGACCAACAAATCAATATTTAAGTTCATTTTATGTAATCACTGAATGATTAACTTGCAATAAAAAGCTATACTTAAAATACAAATCATGCAACAAAGCCAACACATTTCATTACAAATTTAAAAAACCAATGGTACTCACATTTAGCTCTCCAAACTTTCAACTTCTCTTCCATTGCAGTTCACAGTTACTATATGTTTTAGGGTTTCCATAGTTAGTCACCTCCTATTGTCTCGTAAGATGTCCTTAGAGTGGGAAAAACTTCTTTCTACCTCACAGGAACTTAGGGGCACATGTATAAAAATCGTTATTTGCTCCACTGTTAGTGATTTTTTACTTGGCACTTGAGTATGTTTACTGGCTAAAATTTCAATTTCACAAATTTGTTCATATCCTGGATTTGTTAAAGAATGCTGTGTACTTTTTCCTTTACTACTTCACCAGCTCTTCCAGGAACTGAATTCAATTTGGAAACAGTGGTTTTGAACACACTTAACGAATGATACAAAGTAGTATCGCTATTGCTTGCCTCCAGTGAGGAAATGGCGGATGGAAGATGAGAGAAGTGAGCAGATATATAGGAAAGATTAGTTTCTAATCTTGGACAATTGGAATTGATGCTGCACTTTTGGGATGAAATGTATTCACGGCATTCCTAACTGTTTCTAAATGTTCGGTATAATAACTTGCTGCACACAGCCACGTGCCCAAGCACATTAAAATTGGTTCTGGCGGAAGTAGAACGCTCAGTGCTACTGCTTTAGAGGCTTCTTTTCTGTATGGCACTTTTAACAAATACCTTCTTCACAGAAGACACCAACTTGTCACCAAGAGGAAAATTTGCACGAATTGTTTCTGCAACACGGTGCAACCCATGGGCAAGGCAAGTGAAATGTGTCATATTTGGAAATATAACTTTAACACTTTGTGGACCGGTGGCATATTATTATGACTTTAGGACACGTTATGCTGAAACACACTATACCTTGCACTGACGCCAGGCAGACGCATGACTGGCGCATGATAAACCTCTTGAATGTTTGCTTCGTAGTCAGTAACATGACCCCGCTGTTTACGACCCAACTGTTTTCCTTTCTCACTCCAGAAGAAAATGCCTTTGTTCATATTCCAGCTGCATGCACCAGGCAGGAAGGTACTAGTGCAAAATGGATCAAGGTCGGAAGAGGTTGAGGTCCAAGCGTTTTCCCGGAGAACAAGAAATATCTGACTTCTTCTCCGATGAGCTATCTGACGTCCCTTCTAAGCCTGCTAGTGATAGCGACTCAAAATCTGATAGTGAGTGTGGCAGGGGCGAACAAAAAATTGTGGCCACAGAGAGTGAAAGTGAAAGTGACAGTAGCTCTGACGAAAGTGCGGGTAGAAACATTGCGGGGACAGCCACATAGGGAAAAGCAGACAAAACGCCTGCTTTGGGACAGTTTACTGGAAATCCAGGGGTGAAGCAAATTCCATCAGACCCAACGCAAGTGTCTGAAGTAGCGGAACTGTTTTTCCACAATTCACAATTAGAGCATGGTTGATGTTCAAAGGAGACATGGACAGGTAAAGAAGCCTGTTTTTATTTCCGAATATATGTTCATGAAGGGAGTTGATAGAGCCGATCAGTACTTGGCCTATTATTCTCTTCCTCGGAAAACAGTAAAGTGGACAAAGAAAGTTGCCTTGTGGCTTATAACTTGTGCCATTTTCAATTCATTTTTGGTTTTCAAAAATCTAAACCCTCATTCAAAATTGAAATACAAGGCATTTCTGTTGAATGTGGCAAAAGCCTAAGCTACAGACCACACGGTGGCGGCAGACACCCTACACAGACCTCATTTTGACCCCCCAGGCGACTATCGAGTGATATGCGGAAACATACCCTCGTGAAAATTGTGAAGAGTGAACATGCCAAGGGGAAGCAGCCTTCTAGGCAATGCCGTGTTTGCACAGTACACAACAAAAGGAGTATGACTGTCTACATGTGCAAGTTCTGTGTAATGCCACTTTACAAAGGGGAATGTTTCCAGAAATATCACACTCTCAAGCACTTCTAGGAGTACTGGTAAGTGTTCTCCAAAAATTTTAGTTCATAAAATTAACCTTTTAAAGCCTAAAGGCGACATATGGAGTCACAAAAATTAAGTCAAGGGGATGAATGACTCCATATGTCGTCGTGCAGTCCACGCATGCGGCCGGCTTTTTAAAATCTAATTTTAAGTTATAAATTCTTTTTCTAATTACATGATTTTTGGACACCAGCTTTATAAGTTGTCTGTCTTCCCACCTGCATCATCTAATGGAATGTTGCCTTCTTGTGGAATTCTTCTAAACATCCAGAAATGCAGAGTCCAACGTCGCACTTCACGCACTTTGTCCGGACGATTCTTCGTTTCCCACGCGAAAAGCACACACGACACCTTAATTGCGAAGTAGAGGAAGTCGGCCAGTGATGTGGTTTGGCCTCCTCTAATCGTGATATCTCCAATGAAACGGCAGGGGTTCGACCCCTGGTCCGTTGAGGGCGAAGTGGACCCCTTCCAGCCTGCTCCAGCATGTTTCGCACAAGAGCGAGACGAAATTCTCTGTGTGACAACAGGATGTAACTCTTCAGAATCGTCAGATCCAGGAGATGGAAAAATAGTTTATTTGTCCATTTCCAGGTTCGACGACAGATGCTATAACTGTTTGCCACAGTTTGCCTACAGCTCCACCTGAATAATTATTCACACTCCTCTTGCCATGCTGGTGTGGTGGTCCCCAGGTTGCCAACCAAGATGATGGTTCTTCGTCGAAATCAATTTCTGATTCACTTTCCTCAACGCCACTCTCAGAATTGTCGGTACAACAATCTGATTCGGAGTCATTTATGAGCTGAAATATGTCAGAGTCTACCAAACGAGACAGCGCAATGGTTGGTTTACAACATCGCAGAATGCTAACTTTTGACACTGCTTGGCTGTGGTATTAGGATGCTAACCTTGAAAGTTCTTATAATCTACTTCCAGCAGAGTGAGAACAGAGAGCTTGTTGTGTAGCAACAAGCGATAATAAACAATCAGGGTTCTTATATATGAATAGATACTCACCCCACATCTCTGCATACCGAAAGAAACGTACGTGAAAATATACACTGACACATGCAGGCCAAAGCCCTGGCTAGCGCATCTGCTGTGTTGCCACTTCAGCAGCATTCATACTTGCAAGATCTGTATGAATTCTTGTAGACATACGACAAATTGGGGAATATTTTAGTTGGAATCAGTATAAAAATTTTTACACATTTTATAAAGTCTGTAAATTACAATATCTGATTCTATATTCTTTCTAGAAAAAAAGCAGCGTTTATTTGGTTCATTTATCACAAAAACTGTAGAAATCACAGCAATTTTAGTAAATGATTACAATTTTTATTGCTTTATAATCGCGGGCATTTAAATTAAATCAGTCCCGTAGCCATTACCAGAATTTAAAGGGTCATCTCTTAAAGGTTAATTAGGAGATTTTATATTAATTTTTAAGTGAACAGTGCACAAGTTAGGGTAGTAGGTTTAAAAATGCCGGTCCCCAGGGTGATTTAAATATTTAAATTGCCGGTCCACAAAGTGTTAAGAGCAGTACCGGCTTTCATCATATAACTTGTGGCATCAGTCACAAAGAGCAATACGCGCTCATACTGAATGACATTCAGCCATTGTAAATTCATGGAACTGATAAAAAGTTCAGAAACTGCTGAGCTATTTGTGGTTTCAAATTGCTCTACCGCAAGACGATATGGGGTAAATTGTTCATTCTTATTAAGGGCTCCAACTATACAATTTGCAATAAACCGTCCCTCATAATCTTGTGTTTCATCGACTGATACCCACACAAAATTATCTTGAATCTTATCTCTAATGCTTTGAATTTCAAGATCATAACACTGCTTCACATAATTTTTGCGCACAGCAGATTCATCCGGCACTTTGCACTGTGTATACTTCTCTATTAAGTTACTCAGAGTAGGATTGGTTAGTTTCAACAGTGGAATATCTCCCACTAAAAAGGCTTTGCATAAATCAAAGGAAAACTGTGAAAAACTATTATTAGAAAATTCACTAAGCAATTTGTGAAAAGGAGCACTTTTTGTGGAATTAATTTTAATATTCTCTTTGTGTATATTAGTGCAAATGCTGAAGCACTTGAAAGCATTTTTCACAACCATTTCTCACACGCTCAGCAAAAACGAATTTCGTTACCCGCACTTATCATCTCTCCTTTGAACTCCCGCTCATACAGCTGTAATTTAGTTTTCTGACTTACTTTCACTTTTGGCATGACTACAGAAAGCTAAACAAACTTAACTACACACTATTCACCACTAATGTGAATGGCCCCCGGCTTCAAATGAAGAAGAGTAACGAACCTCATGGAGACTTTGGAAATAAATAAGTGAAGTCTCTTATCGGTTGAATAGTATTACGTTGATAGCGGCTACATGTAAACGCTTCTGACTAATCTCTTCGCGGCCACTTTGACGGTACGCGGATGAGGCAAGTTAAGAGTAGAGGGATCGGGGGAAGTACCATCCTGAGTATTGCATCAGAAACATGAATCATGATGAAATGTTGAGTCACATATGCAACATATTCTAATATGGAAAAAAAAANCTGTAAAATTCCATTCCAGCCATCCAAAGACACTGATGCACTGCTTTCTGATTTGCCTCCCTTGTCTCAAAACATTGTCCACACAGCTGATCCTTCACAAATCCGAAAAGATGGTAGTCGGAGGGTACTTGATCAGGGCTATAGGAGGGGTGTGGAAGAACCTTCCACCCCATCTTTGCAATTGCTTCCAATGTGAGGTGAGCGGCGTGGGGGCGAGTGTTGTCATGCAGGATGATGATGTTTCGTCCTTGACATTTATTCTACAATGCACGACGGAGCTTGTGCAGCATCTGGACATAACGAGCGGCATTGATGGTTTGCCCAGGTTCCAGGAATTCGGCCAGAATAAACCCTTCTGCATCCAAGAAGACTGTGCCCATCACCTTCGCAGCTGATGGCAGTCTTTGCCTTCCTTTCTGATGGAGAATGCAAATGGTGCCATTCCATACTCTGCCATTTTGTTTCAGGCTCGAAATAGTGAAACCAGCTTTTGTCAATCGTCACAATACAGAGCAAGAAAACATCACCTTCATGTCGATATCTATGCAGCAGTTCTGAGGTAATGGCTTTTCGGTGACCTTTGCAGTCTTCAGTCAATAACCGCGGGACCCAACAAGCACAAACTTTCCTATAGCCCAAGCTTTCAATCATCTCCTGTACTGCACTGTGCCCCATTCCAAGTTTTCGGGCTCTTGTGTCCAGTCACACACCTGTCATCTTGAATGATCTCATCCACTCTTTCCTTGTTGCGTTCAGTTGAGGCTGTTCGAGGACAACCACTCTGAGGCTCATCTTTCATGCTATGTTCCAATCTTTAAAATGTTTCATCCATTTTCGAACACTGCTCGCACCCATGCACACACTTCCATAAGCACGCTGAAGTCTCTGGTGAATTTCTGCAGCAAGGATTTCCTTTCACAAGAAATTCGATGACAGCACGCTGGCAAAACGACATATCATTGTCAGCCATTTTGTTAGGAGTGATAGTGGTCACATGATGCAAGCTATTGACATCACAAGACACTCAAGGTTAACACAACAGCTGGTTCCACCTAAGACTGTACTCTCTTTTTTCTGCTGTTCCCAGGTTTCATGCAAAAAAAGGGTTGCTCATGACTTTTGGTACGACCTACGTATATGCACCATCAAACCATGTCCAAAATTTAAGAAATTAAGTAATTCATACATATATCCAAACGAGCATACTTTCTGGTTGCAAGAAAGAAATATGCATTTGCATTAAAATCCGGTCCCTAGTAATAAGCAACAGAAGAAAATTAGCTTACCCCTAACTGTCCTCCATAGAATTTTGCTTGGTGCTCTGAAATGGTATGGACCTCTTGCTGGATTCACATTGCACCTCTTGCGTAAGAAGGAAAGATATTTGAGCTTGGCCCTGAGAGGAAATAAACTTGATTACTTTTGTTATGGCAACAGAAAAATGAGCATAAAATTTTAATTATAAATGTTCTAAAAACTGCTCAGTTAAAAATCTCAACAAATAACAAAATGTTCAGGCGCAAATTACCATAAACATCACAGCAAGTTTCTGCTCTATAAATCTCACAAAGCATTCATTTCAAGTCCTATTTGTCAGCAGTTCAGACTGCATACATCAAATGGTATGATGATTCATCAATATGGAATTAGAAAGAACGTACAAGGTTATGGCCTAATCTGCTGTACTTTCCCGGCATTTGCTGAAGGGAAAAAGAAAACTACAAAGAACATGTCATAGTAGTTGGTGTCCCAGCCAAGACTTCAACCAAGAACCCCCTCACCACAAGTCAGAAGCATTACTGGTACAGAAAACTTGCTCAGAATTTGGAATATCAATTACCTGAAAAAGTTTCCTGAAATATTGATCTGTTCAGTCCTAACAACAGTGACCCTGTTGCCTTGAAGGAGAGTTTTAGCAATAATTGATGCCAAACGACCAAGAAGATGGCCCCTGCCATCTAACAGGATGGCCTGAAAGAGGAAGACAGCATTACAACATGTGGTTAAATTCTGTTCTACACTGTTTTAAAGATGAAGTAAATCATGTGAAGATGAATGGTTAGATACCAGTAGCATTACACTCCTTGAAATAGAACTTTCAAAAATATTTGAGCTCAGAAAGGTGTCAAAACGTGTTTTTCTTACTTACTGATTACAAATTCCACGCGACTTCATTTGTATATCTGCATTCATAATGTAAAATATCTGTTCCACAATGGAATGGTTCAGTCTTTCTGCTGACCAGTTACCATCCAGTTTCACTTGCATGTGATATCAGGTGACGGTGCATGTCAAACAGAATGCTCTGAACGCAGTGACTGCTCCCTACTTATTGCTGTACCATAACAATCACATAACAAATTTTTGTAACTAGCAGCAACATTACCAGTGTGTGTGTACAGCCTGTACCTATGATATCACCTATAAATATTTATGGGTTCTCTGTATTTAATGAATTTTCACAGTAATACAGATGTCAAGAGATTTTTAATACCTTCTAGTCTAAAGCTAATTTGTCAACATTTCCAGTAGAAAAGTATATAATACCATCACAACTCAATGTGTCTCGCCAAAAACTGTCCGTGAGCTTCACAAATCCAACATCCACGGTAGAGATGCAATTTCTAGACCTGATTACTGAAAGTAAGGCACGTAATGGTGTCACAGCCATAAAAAAAGGACGTTAGGAATTAGAAACATGTGTGACATGGTCAGATGAGTCATCCTTCATGCATTTCCCTACACCAGGAAGTGTTTGGTGAGCACTGTAGGAAGCATACCATCCAGAATGCCTGGGCGCAACAATGAAACACAGGCAGATTCTGTGATGGTTTGGGCAGCAATATCATGGTACAGTATTCTGTTGGTCCCATTGTTACCCTTCATGGCTGAATCACTGCAAGGGAAGTACGTGAACAGGTCGAGTAATCAGGTACATTCCATGATCCAAACATTATTTCTGAACAATGCAATTTTCCAAAATGACAATGACCCATTCACATAGCTAGAATTGTTTAGCCAAGGTTTGAAGTGCGTGAAGGTGAACTTCAACATTTCCCTGGCAAGCACAACTGCCGATTTGAACATCAATGAACCACTCTGGTTAAATTTTGAAACTACAGTGAGGAACAGATTCCCACTTCCAACACCTGTAATGCAACTTGAAAATGTTCAAGAAGAACGGTACAGAATTCCACTATAGGCTGTTCAAAACTTGTACGAGTACAAGGACTGCAGCTGTAATGAAGGCAAAAGGTGGTCCAACACCACGTTAATAAAGAAATGTGTACAGTAGTGCTTCCAATATTCTGTTCAACCCCTGCATATTCCACGGAAGTTTTGGTGAGGCCAATACAAAAGTGCACAGAATCAATTCACTGCCTCTGACTAGTTTCTAAAATAGTTCTGGTTCCTTCATTTCCTTCTCCTACTGGGCAGACAGCCAGCTTAGTTATATTTTTAAATAGGCTGGAAGCCTGTAATTTTGGGAGCACCATGTACACATACTGCAACCTTGTTATGTTAACTTTACTTGGTAACTTCTCTGGCTCTTTTTATATTTTGTAAATTGTCATTATTTCATATAATACATAATCTATTTCCTGTTTACATTGTTCATTTGTGTAACGTTTATAAACATACATATGTATGATCCATGTCGGTTAGAAAAAGGCTCCCATGTCATTCGATAACATTGACAATTAATGTGGCCATATCAAGTTTTAACAGAAAACAACACTATACTGTCAGAAATCATACTGTTGACTACCAATTATAATAAAACACACAAAACATATTTCTTTGCCCCAGTCATCATCCCACCTCCACTTCAATAATGTTGTGAACGTCAGATACAATTTAAAATGTTTTTAAAAAATTACTGGGGGCACATGGTAGCATACTTAGTTGAGGCACCATTATACAAGCCGGAAGGTCGCAGGATTGAAACCCAATGACGTCATTGCATCTTTTTCAATTTACCTAATCCTTCCAGCCACACTATGGCCCTGGGGTCGACTCAGCCTCTAACAGAAATGAGTACCAAGAATATTCTTGAAATCTTCTTGGGGGTAAAGGGCGGCCAGCATGTAAGGCTGACAACCTTACTGCCATCTAGGAGCCAACTGTTCAGAAAATGTGGGAAACTCAACATCTCACAACCCTATTGGCCTCCACAGCCTGTTACAGGGATAACTTTACTTTTTACTCACTTACTTTTAAAAAAAAATAACTTCTAACATTGCAAGTAGGTGGAACTTGTTCCCCTTGTACCTCGATAAATTAAATTTCACCTGTAAAAAATATTAAGAGTGCTGCATCCTGTTTGTGTTTACAAATAAAAATATAGTACATGTTCTGGCCTAGATACACCATTATGAGGTGACCAGGGCCAAAAAATATTTTCAGCTGATAGACACAAAACATTTGTTTGTTTGATGGGAACCCCTCCATTTTTATTAAGGTTCTTACTTTGAAAAAATAAAGGCAGGCTTATGAGATCACCATGTTATGTCCCCTCTCTTATAAATTTTGAATGCCTGAACCAATCTTTGTGAAACTTGGGATATACCCACGGCAAAAGAGACCATCTCAACAGCATACTTCATACATATCTCCCATCAGTCCATGTGTATCCCCTATCCTTTGCTAGACAAGGGCTTGGTAAACAAGCTACTGCAGCAATGAAAAAGAAAACTCCATGGCCTGTAGTCTGCAAGCAAACTACAAATTCACATGCAACAGTAGACCTGTCAGCTGTGTAGATTTTTATCTGGTGTGTCAAAACAAAAGAAAGAAGGCAACCAGTACTTCCCAGACCTTCTTGCTTGTAACGATAAGGCTATATATTCTAAGTAATGCATTTGTTTATGGAGGCAAAAGGCGCCTTTCTACGGAGGTTGACACTACCTGAAACTCATTCCTACATGGCAGTAGGATGTTGCGTCAGTGTCCTAGTATTTGGCACCAGCCAAAATACTGTACTTTTATTGAGCTAATGAAAGGCAATCACACATTATGTGTAGTACGGAAGATTAATATTATGTTCAACAACACAGCATCATCACGATGCCGGCCTATTCTTCCCATCATGGGGATGGCGTGAACGACTTTATCCTTTATCCTACCGCATCCTCACTCGTCTTCAGTTGAAGAGGTAACCTCTGTGCCAGAAAGCGAGGACGCCGCACGCGTGCCTACGTAAACTAGAAATTTACCAGATTAGGCATACTTTCATAATTTTCTTCGGCATGTTATGTGAACAAAAGTTCTATTCACGTGGGTTACAAACTCACAACAGACGTGCCAAAGGTCAACTATTAAAACACATGAATGCACAAAACGTTATCGTTCAAACAAAATTCTGGGGAAACGTCAATAAGTTGCCGTTTACACACCACAAACCCAGTGAACGGTTAAGAACCTTGGCTTTTATACACCACAAACCCAGCGATCGGTTAAGAACCTCGGGCTAGTATCATGAAATCGATTTTTTATTCCATAAAAAATCGGTATAAATAACAAAAGTTGCTCGTTCGTGCTACACACATTAACTACAAATGTATTCAGAATATCTAAAAGACATATATTAAAACTAGACACACGTGTAATTTTCATTGTTCAATCAACTTCCCATATCGTGTCATACCTACAATCATGGAGAAATCTAAATTATATAATTCATTTTAAATATAATTATCTTAGTAATAATAATTATAAGCAATATTACGTTACATTAACACACGAAAACAAAACTCACTTTACTACCAAAACCAGTCATGATCTCTCTCTGGCCGGAAAAGGGGCGACATCACTCGCTGAAAGGATGGTAACCGTTTACTACTGTATTTCCTGCAATGCTGCCAACATGCACCTGCCCCCACTACCCTCTGGAGGCTCTGGAGAGAAATTCAGAGCCATCAATATTACGAAGGGATAAGTCTTTACATTGCGTTGGAATACGGTTAAGGTAGAGCCCCGATGCGTAAATAAATATCCAGCAACCAGTAACTTAAGGGGGGGGGGGTAAACATGTGACTCCATCATTCTTGACGTCATCATTTTAGACCAGGAATATGATCAAATTCGCTCTTTTACCTTGACATGCACTCTATTTAAGCCTACTCTTGGGCCGCTCCATAGCTCAGGCGGTTAGTCGCTGGGGTCGCTGGCTTCCCACCGCGGCGGTCCGGGTTCGATCCCGGGTTCTGGTCAAGTAGGATTTGTGGTGGACAAAGTGACGCTGGGGCTGGTACAATAGGCCAGAAGTGGCGCAGTAAAAGGGACTCAGTCCCACCCCACTAGCAATACAAAAATAAGCCTACTCTTGGATGCCCGGGTTCTTTTCTGTTAAATTTATAAAATGCCCTCTTTTTCAATATTTATTTCTTACGTACTTTCAATGATATTGTAACGTGTTTTGCGTTACTGATCCCACTTCTGACACCAGTTGTCGCGTATCGGGGGTATGACGCGACAAATAACTTCTCGATGTATTTGATGTAGCGAACTTTATTTCACATCCGCTCTCACAATCACCCAAATTACAGATTTCCGATTACTGCTATCTGCAGTATCACAAATAGTACACTCCAAATGCCACAATACAACTGGCTGGTTGACTCTACGTCTCGACTCGGCGGCTGTCACAGTACAACTCACCAGTACAACTCGGCGGTAGCCACACTAGAACTCGAACTCGAACTGATCGATACGCACTGTGCATCCACTTATATAGCTGCAGTGCTTGCCTGTGGCGTAATGAGTGCCACGTCACAGTAGGACGTTGATTACGGTTACGTTGGCGTTGCGCGTTACGTCACCGCGTGACGTCACCGCGGAGGGGAGTGGCGGGGAGCGCTACGTTACCGTGGAGAGGAGGGGGGTTCTCAGTCGCGCAACATGTTACAATATGTTTTCGTTTCAGAGCTGCAAAGTTTACAAAACATTTACCTTCGGATTACCGTCCACTGGCATGAAAACTGTGCGCTTTTTCTGAAATCGTAATCGGCGGGAGCGAAGGGGAAGACATCTACTTAGTTGGGTCCCTGAGAAAGAGCTAACGTCAGCTAACTTGCAGACATTGTGGTTAGCTGTTTCGAAGGGGGCCAGCTGAGTTGGTGTCTTCACCCCTCCCACACCTGAGGACGATGCATTAGACCATTCTGGATAGGAAATTTATCAGACAACTCTTTACATTTACAGACCTTACCATACGCTTCGTTTAAACAAACTTTAATCAGCCTATCCGGCTTCACGGGTACCCCAAACTCTATCAGAACATTGCACAATACCCCCCCTCCCAACCGAATCACAGGCCTTCCCGAAGTCTACAATTAGCCGATGCACCGTCTCATTGCACTCCCATTCCCTCTCCAACACCTGACGAATGTAAAAGATCTGATCAGCAGTTGATCAGCAACATCGAAACCCACACCGATAATCCCCCAAAATTCATCCATGCATGGACCCAACCTTCAGAGAAAAACATTTGACAAGACATTGCATGAAACCGACAGCAGTGAAATCCCCCAATAATCACCAGTCATCCCCATCACCCTTCCTGTGAACTGGCACGACAATGGACTCCCTCCACGGATCAAGCAATTTTTCCCCAAGCCAAAGAGAAGCAATAAGTTCATGGATCCCAGAACGAAATACCTCGCCTCCTGTTTGAAAAAGACTCTGCCGGAATTCGATCACCACCTGGCGACTTATATCCTTCAATCTCGTAATAGCACCTTCAACCTCAAAGGGGCCAGGGTCAGGTACAAATAGCTCAGCTGAATGTACCTCCATGCGCCCAACATCACCGTCCTACACAACTGAAAGAAGCAGTTCCTTCAGCCACTCAAAATTCCGTGGGATTACACAAACAGATCATCATCCTTATCCCCCACCAAGCCACCCCCAGGTTGGTAATCCATCTTAAAGTCACTCATTCCTCTATACAGGTCTCCAATGTTCCTGATCCCACTGTTCATTGCAAACTCATCAATCCCATCCCTCAGATATCCCCCCTTTTACACCCTCACGCTCGAAACAACCACCGTTTTCACGTCTTATAATGTTCAGATTATCCCCACCTACCCCGCTCGGAACCAGCAACCACTGCAATTTGGCCTGCCTTCGCCGGTCCAATAATTTCAGCGTCCTTCGTCGAACAATGGCTTATGCTTCCCCAGCATAACTGCGGTTTAGGCTGATAACCCACTGACGCGGCTAGCCGCACCCGACTTGTCGCGTCAGTGGCTTATCAGCTTCAATGTTATTAACAAATTTGTATTTCAGATTCTCTAGTTTCATCAAGGCAAGGCTCATAGCTCAAGCGGTTAGTCGCTAGCTTCCCATTGGGGTGGCCCGGGTGTGGTCAAGTGGGATTTTTGGTGTAAAGTGGCACTGGGGCAGGTTTTCTCCGAGTACTTCGGTTTCCCCTGCCAATCTTCATTCCACCAGTTGCTCCACAATCACCCTTGTCTATCATCTGGGGCTGGTACAATAGGCCAGAAGTGGCCGCAGTACAAGATACATAGTCCCACCCCACTAGCAAAAAAAAAATCATGGTACAGAAAGTAATAATTAACGGAAACCTCAGTATTATTGCTTGCTATACGACAATTATAATGCATTAATATAAAGGAAAGACAGTGTTTTATGTCGCTTTCAAGTGTAAGTTGTAAGAAAATTTATGATGTGAAATACAAGTACCTCTCCAGGAAAAAAATTTTCTTTCAAGGTTACCCATCTTTAACTTTTGTAAATTAAATTATTTTGTGTATATTATAGTTATCTCCGGGGGGAGTGTTTCTAGAGGAAATGTCATGCAGGCGTTACAACAAGAAAAAGTGCGAAGATCAGAAGGAACATCATGGCTACAAGATTGGAACATGCAATGTTAGGACCTTGAATCAAGCAGGCAAATTGGAAAATTTTAAAACGGAAATGCACAAAAATGAGGTGTCTGTTCTAAGTGTCAGCGAAGTGCAGTGGAAAGGACAAGGTGAAATAAGAAGTGGTGATTATACAGTGTATTATTCCGGAGGTGAACGGGCTGAAAGAGGTGTGGCAATAGTGGTGCATGAAAGTGTAGTGAGGAGTGTAGTTAAGAAGATTGTTTGTAATGGCAGAATTATTGCTCTGAACTTAAAGGCAGAACCGGTAGATATACTGATTCCAAAGTGTACATACCAGCATCAGAGTATGAAGTTGATGAAGTGAAAAAGTGTATGACAAAATTGAAGAAATTCTTCAGGAAGATGGAAGAGGTGACACAAACTGCATCATATTGGGAGAATGGAATAGCACTGTTGGAGATGAACCATATCAGAATATTGTTGGATCACATGGACTAGGAAGACGGAATCACAGAGGTCAAATGCTTATTGACTTTTGTGAACGAAATGGATTGATTGTTACCAACACTTGGTTCAAGAAGCCAAAGAGAAGAATTTACACATGGAAGGCACCTGGTGATTGGAAGAGGCATCAGCAGGACTACATCCTTGTGAAACATCGATTCAGAAACAGTGTGAAGGATGTGAAGACACTGCCTGGGGCAGATATTGACTCTGACCACAACTTACTGGTTGCCAAGTTCCAAACCAGGTTGAAGAAAATTATTATATTTCGAAAGCGCAGACCTAGATTGGATTTGGAGAAGTTATATGCTCAAAGACAAAGCGTGCAGGAGATTCTAGAAGAGAAACTCGGTGCAATTGAAGGTGAAAGCGGAAATGCTGAAGTCCAGTGGAACAATATAAAATAATGCATGTTAGACACTATCAGTGATTTGTTTGGTAAATTTGAGAAGATAGCAAGAAAACCATGGGTTACAAAGGAGATGATGAGTAAAATGGAGGAGTGAAGGAAATGGAAGAATGTCAAAAATGAAGAAGGCAGGAGAAAATACAGGGGACTGAGGAATGAATTGAAAAGGGTCATGGACAGGGCCAAAAAGGAATATCTTGAGAAGATATGTAATGAGATTATGGAATTTCAAAGAACAGGACGTTATGATTTGATGTACATGAAGACAAAAGAACT